AAAAACGCAAATAAAATTAAATATATAAACAGCTGAAAAAATTTCATACTCTGGCACGACGGTGCAAAGGGGTGGCGGCCATGAGGCATATGATAGTCGAGCAGTTGGGATTTGCAATGAGAGCCCCTTTCCCACTCCTGAGCTTAATACCCTCCATGGCCTCAGGATTCACTTCCGGTATCACGAGGGGGACCCCTTGGTCCATCCTGAATGCCGAGCTATTATCCACGACGATGGCTCCCTGGTCGACGGCTAGAGGCCCGAACTTCTTGCTTATACTCCCGCCGGCGCTAAAAAGGGCGATGTCTACGTCACGGAAGCTGTTCTCCGTCAATTCCTCCACGGTGTACTCTCGATTTTCGTACGTGACCTTTTTCCCGGCCGAGCGTTTGGAGGCGAGCAGCTTGAGAGATCGGTAGGGAAAGTCACGGTCGGAGAGGACGGAGAGGAACTCCTGGCCAACAGCTCCTGTGACGCCGACGACGGCGACGGAGGGGCCGTCCTCCCTAAGGGACATCCGGACGGAGAATGGGGCGTTGGAGACGCGAGCCGAGCGGGAAACGGAGAGATTGGTGGCATAGTGGAAGAAGGGGGTGGTGAGGTGGTGATGGTTGTTGACGGCGGGGAGCTTCATATCGGCGGCGGCGGCAGCGGTGGCGGCGGTTTGTGTGTGTGTGGACTGAGGGGATCTATTTATTGTTTATAGGGTTCAGGTCCTGTATTGATTGAGTAAGCAAAAGTGAAAATGAACTTTTCCTTGAAATGAAAAATTGGGAATTAGACCAAGGTTGACGGTTCCTTGGTTCGAGCCAAAACAAGGTGCTGCATGGTATGAACTATGATGTTTCCTAAAAAATAAAAAGTGATCAATTAACTGTATGACCTTTTTTTTTTTTTTAAAACCAAGAGATTTTATAAAGCGCACAAAAGTGCAAAAAGAAAATCAACTCAAAGTTGAATGATACGACTAAAAACTGAATAAAATTGGGAGAACATATCTGAAGATCGTCAAGAGCCTTATCTACCAACGCTAGACCAACAACCTCACGACACAACACTACACACAAACAAAATAGAAAAAGCTCCAACAATGAAGAATCACCGATCCCAACAGGATAATACCTGCTCTCACTCGGGCTGAACAAATAAAAACAAACGCACTAAGAAGAACAAAAACAACCCCTAAAACAACAAAACAAACAAGCAAAACAAATAACTAAAAAGACGAGCCCTTCCACGGCAGAACTACCGAGCAAAGGACAACCAATCGACCCCACAGAAGAATTCGCAGCCTAAGAAATCTCCCCTGAAACTGTCAGAACCGCCTAACGAAGGATGGAACTCGAACCCCAAACTCATCAGGAGACCGACCCGCCCTTCAGCCGGAGAAACACCAACAGCACCCCCCCTCCCCACACCACCACTGCCCCGAACCAACTACTACCACTAGAGGAATCTGTAAACACCAGTCCCCCTCTATACCCAAACACCAGAGCACAAGGAAGAAAGGATGAAATCGGCGCCTCAGCCCTGGCCACGCGGACTCAGAAGATGTTAGATTTTTCTTTTTATTTTTATAACTAGTTCTATATCCATGTACTACACGGGTACTTAAATATATTAATATTTGTACAATAAAAAATTAAAATTATTTATTTTTTTATTGTGAAATTATGTATAATGAATAACAACAATAACAAATAACTAACAAAGTAGTATAGTGCCCGCATTTTTATACTACATTTGTCAAAAATAATATTTTTAATTATATTTTTAAATTATATATGTCTAAAATAGATATTAATTACAACTCCATATATTTAACTCGAACTTTTTTAAAACAAAACAAGTTTTATTGTATTGTGATTATACATATATTTATAGAGTGTGTGTCTCTTATTTTATAGAATTTAATAATTTAAAATATTAATTTACACGAAAATCTATTATTTTATAAATTTATGAAACATAAAACTATTTTGTTATATTTAATTATGATATCCATTTATATATATTGTTGATAACCGACTTGATTTCCCAAGGTTAATTAAAGGACCGATTATTTTATCTTGTTAATGGTTCTTTAATGTTATTTTTGGCGAGAAACTTAGTTCAATTCGGCGCAATTAAATATCGACCGACTTCGGACAACTGAAAAAATAAACCGACCAATCACCAAGCTTCAAAACCGACTTCACACTAAAAGACAAGGAACCTGACCTCACCGACATTCCTATCAAAGATTATCTGTTCAAACAAAGGCCAAAGAAGATCAAAACCCAAAGCAGGAGGTGTTGTACGCTTTCAATTGGACCATCAAGTCAAAGAATAATCATTGATGTTCCCCCATTACATTACACACCCCTTTATTGTAGCTGCTCAACATTAAATGCGATTTAATCTACCTCGGACAACAAGACAAAATCACCGTACTATAAATAGCAGAATTTATGACTGTACAGGGATCTTTTTTAGCACATTGTACACTGACTATAATAATATCTCGGTTACGAAAGACAAAAACCGACTTCCTGTACTCTTGTGAAGCGATCAATAATACACAAATTTACGTTAATTTTCCTTTAAATACACCTTGCTTTTATTTATTTGAGTTGTTAAATTTCATACAACAACAGTTTGGCGCTAGAAGGAGGGCTCATAAGAAATTTGAGGTTAATCTTCGATATACTATACACGAAAAATACATATCTGCCAAACAATCTTCATAATAGTCAAACATGACTAGTTCAGGGCGTCAAGAAAGAAATCCAGACGCTGGAACCAGTCGAAATCCTTTCCAAACTACTGAAGATACGACTGCGCCTTCTATGACGATAGACTACTCTGTTTTGTTTCAAGATCCAGAGTTTCTTAGAAGTCTATCTAATTTCATGGCACAAACAAGAGCAGGACCAACTATAACAGTTCCTAGTCAAACTCCTGTACCAAATATTCCAATAAGGCAGCAGACGCCGCCTGTTCAAGGACATAACAACAATACTGCTGCCTCTCATGCAACTTCGCAACCGCGAACTCCCGCATCACAACAAAATATAGCAGTTCAAGCCCACGACGAAGTTCCTGTTAATAATAGTCAACCAAAAGGTAATCAACCTGAAATTACTGCTGAAAGCCATTCAGGACATCGTCATCAACAACTGGTGCCTCTGTCACCAGCGACTTCGCAACCCGTCAAACATTCCGACTTGCGTCATACTATTGAAAGGAATCGATTTAGACGTGAGTCGGATGAACTGCGTCATACTATTGAAAGGAATCGTCTGAGACGTGAGTCAAATGAACTGAAAATATTACGAAAAAGAATTGCCGAGTTAGAAACTCGGCATGAAGGCTCTGAAGAATCTCAAAGGAGGGTCCCTATTTCGGGAAATGTTTACCTGGAAGTTGAAACCCCATTAGCCCCACAACTCACAATGGAACCATTATCTGGAAAAATTAAGGTTCCCCAGATCGGTCTTTATGATGGCACCTCGGATCCAGATGCACATCTCGGCCAATACATCTCATGGATGGACCTTCACGGAGCAACTGACGCGCTAAGATATCGGACGTTCTCATTAACTCTGGGACCTCGGGCTCAAAAATGGTATCCCTCTTTACCTCGATGCTCAATTTCAAATTGGCAACAATTGAGAACTGCTTTTTGATCTCATTTTATTGGGCCCCGAGTATCTTTAATCCCAAAGGAATCAATTGTCAATATCGTGCAAAAGGACAATGAGAGTGTCAAAGATTACATTACTCGATTTAATGAACGAGTACAGAATATGGAACAGTGCCATCCAGAAACACTGTTGATTATGGCTATAGCAGGGTTAAAGCCGAATTCTCTGTTTCACTGGAGAAAGAAGAAGAATAAATCTTTTAAGCAAAATAAATCTCGGTTTGGGAGTTCCAAAACTCCCGAGGTGAGAGAAGCTAGAGACAAATATCTTAATGAAGTCAAGTCAAGTTATCAAACAGTTTTCTCGGCTGGAGCAGCAACTATATTTGAAGAATTAAAAGGGAAAGGAATTCTTACCGATCCCCGACCTGTGAGAACTCCAGAGGATAAACTTGACAAGACAAAATACTGCTCATACCATAAGTCGGCAGGACATGATACTGATGAATGTCTGGGTTTACTTTCTGCTTTTTTGAGACTTATCGGACACCCACAAGTCCAACGATTTGCTAAGAATACTGATTATAAGCGAAAAGGCAGATAACCAGAACTTCCAGACGATGATGAAGATGACGATCGCCCAATTAATCCAAAGCGAATTAGACAAGGTGATAAAGAAGTCTTTGTGTTCAACTCGGAGGAGAACCAAGCTTCATCCTCAGCGAAATCTGAAACATTAAACAGAGGCAGTTTTTCTAATCCCCTGATCTTTATAATGTTCCACGAGTTAACAACAGTAGTGGAAAAACGCATGAATCACGTCGGCAAATGAAGGTATATGCTCGACAACTTCCAATTCGGGCAAGACCGTCTTAACTATCAATCTCCGAGACAAAATCAATGCTCGAAATAATTGTCCGATCACTTTTAACGTCGATGATGCAAGCTATTTCGTCACTCACATTCTGATCCACTTGTGATCGCGACGCCAATTTGTGGGATACCAGTACATCGAATAATGGTTGATACAGGTGCCTACTCGAGTATCTTAATGCTCCGCACGTTCGAACAAATGGGAATTGATCCCACCGAGCTTAAACCTTGTAAAGATCAAGTACAAGGTTTCAATGGAACAATTACGCCGACCCTTGGCGAGATCACTATGTCAATTCGGTTTGGAATACCTGGATAAGCTTCGAAGGTTAGCATAGAGACATTCAAAGTGATGGACCTCAAGAACGAATATAATGCCATCGTGGAAAGAACAACTCTGTACAAACTTCACGCAGTTGTTTTAATTTTCCATTATGCCTTAAATTTTCCTACGAATAACGGAGAAGGAACTCATTATGGCGATCAATACGAAGCCCGAAGAATGGTATGGGTCAAACCCTGGCATGAACCCTCTCCTTTGATTCATATAGCAGAAAATATGCCAGGAAGAACTAGAAAAAGCACAAACTCCTAAGAACTCGGTACCTGAAAGTACCGAGATGGAAACGGAACCCTCCAGGATTACACCAAACTCGGAAGAAGTATATCAAGACGACTTAACTCGAGATCGTGGAAGACGTTCTAGGAAAGAACCTGTCAACGAAGAAGACGAACTCCATCCTCGCTCTCAATTCAAAGAGAAAAATAAAGTTGATCGAGCTGAACCATCCGAAGAAATTGAAACAATCTTCGTTGACGATCCTATTTGTGATAAACCACTTCGGAATGGGGCCAATCTTCAAGAGCTAATACGAACTCGACTTATCCAATTTCTCCGAGCAAACCCTGATGTATTTGCTTGGAAACATGAGGATATGAAAGGCATTGACCCCAATATGGCTTCACACCGACTTAATTTAGATCCTGCAATAAAACCGGTTGTGCAAAAAAGACGCAAGCTCGGTCCTGATCGTCAGAAGGCTCTTGAAGAAGAAGTCAAGAAGCTAATTGACAACAAATTCATTCAAGAAACCAAATACCCGACTTGGGTATCTAATCCTGTTTTGGTCAAGAAAAGCACCGGTGCATGGCGACTCTGTATTGATTTTTCTGATTTGAATAAGGCCTGTCCAAAAGACAGTTATCCATTGCCGTATATCGATTACATGGTGGACGCCACCTCCAGACATGAATTGATGAGTTTCATGCATGCATACTCGGGTTATAATCAAATTCCAATGGACCCCGAAGAAGCAGAGCATACATCT